AGCTCCTGAACAAGGTTACCCTGGCAGCCAGGAGAGCTCTGGCCTAGTCGTGGCTAAAACCCACCGTTCCCTCTATGAACGAAGTGCTAGTGAAAATTAAAGACACGTACTTAATGGACAAACTAACAGCCCAGATCAGAAAAAAATTGTCATAAAATTTGGCAACCCTGGGAAGAATACGCTAATGACTGACCATTCTCAGACTGCACAAGTCAGGTGGGGAGTGCATGAGGGGTAAACGCGGTCTGCCGAGCTTCCCGTAGAGCGCGCCACCGTGATATTCCCCACTCTTATTTTTTTCTACTCTCCCCCCCCATTTTATTTCTCTTTCGCTACACCTAACCCCTCACCCTCCCATCCACATAAGCAGGTAAAAGGAGTAGGGCCGGTGCCCACGGGGTCACACCAGCGGAGTGCCACTCTACTAACTGAAACATGGAAAGGTAATATGGTATAGGATATGGCAGAGAGTCCCGGGGCGACCAGACAAAGCAACCCCAACTAGAATCCATAACTGTATACTGCAGCAAGATTAACTTAGGGTGACCGTCTAAGCACCAGCCCCGGAGGCGGATACCGAGTGTGCTCACGGGTGTACTGGTTCCCACATACACTGCACATAATCAAACTGTGCTGCCCCTGAAGACATGTTATACATGTTGTATGTTTAACTACCTATGTTCTGTGTATTAAAGATAAAAACTTGGCGGTCAGCGACCATCTCAAAGATACAAAGTTATAACATGTAATAATGTGTGATTTCTAACTGTACCAATAAGCCTGTGTGTATTCCATACCTCGGCTTTTGCATAAGCCAGGTGCCAAGAATTTGTCGACTGGTGTGTCAAGACCTAAATAAAGAATAAAAAAAAAAAAAAGAAATGAGCAGGAAGGGACATCAAGGAGCAAAAAGGAGAAGGAACAGAAATGAGCAGGAAGGGACATCAAGGAGCGCAATGGGTCAGCAATGATCTGGAAGGGGCAGAAGGAGCACAAAGCTAAAGTAGGAGAACGAGCAGAAAGGAACATAAATGAGCAGGAAGGGGCAGCAAGGAGCAGAAAGGGCAGCAAGAAGCAAGATGTGGCAGCAAGAGACAGGAAAGGCAGCAAGGAGCAGGGAAGGTCTGCAAGGAGCAGGAAGGGGCAACAAGAAGAAGGAAGGGTCTGCAAGGAGCAGAAAGAGTCTACAAGGAGCAGAAAGAGTCTGCAAAGAGCAGAAAGGGGCAGCAGGAGCAGGAAGGGACAGAAGGAGCACAAAGGTAAAGTAGGAGAAGGAGCAGAAAGGAACAGCAAGGAGCAGTAAGGTAAAGTAGGAGAAGGAACAGAAGTGAGCAGAAAGGGGCAGAAGGAGCACAAAGGTAAAGTAAGAGAAGGAGCAGAAACTGTCTGCAAGGAGCAGAAAGGGATCAGAAAGAGAAAGGAGCAGAAGGGCACAAAAGATGCAGAAAGGAGCAGAAAGGCAAAAAAGCAAAAGGAGCCAAGGAGGAGAGAAGACAGTGTCAGAAGAAAAAGAAGACTGTGTCAAATGAAGGAGAAGAAAAGGAGATTGGAGCAGGAAGGACAAGTGAAGTGATCCCTCCACTTCATTCTGGACACCACATCATAAGGCTTTGGTACCTGGGCCTTGCAGGAAAACTTTGGACCTTCTCAAAAATGTGTTCACTTTTATTTACCGAGTGTCAGGAAGCACTGAGTGCCACTGGGTAGGGATGTGTGGCTGATTGGCTGACCGTTTTGGTCAGCTGGCACTGACTCAGTAGCTCCTCCCCCCAAAAATTTATAAACTGGGAACTAGCGATTGGCTTGGAATGTCAGCTGACCACTCTAGTCAATCAGCGGCACCCATGCCTGATGTCAATCTGCACTTCCTGACACTCCGTTTCAGAAGCCAAATACCACTGAGCAACCTGGAGCTGGAGGAAGCTTTTGGTGTTAAACCATTTGAGAGCGGTTTAACCCCCTTAAAGGAAAGAGAGCACCCGGGGGCTTCCTGGCATCATAGCATTTTAATTTAGATGAAGTTGTTATGATGACCAGAATTTTCCTTTAAATTTGATTAAGGGAACATTATAATGTCATGAATACAAACATGTATTCCTGACACCATAGTTGTGAAAACACTATTCACCCTGGCTTTATGTGATAATGACTATGCCCCTTCCCTTCATTACACTGTCAAAGCATGGATGCCATTACAATTATGACCCCCCTGGAAAAATTCCTGCGGTCACCCATGCCTCCAAGCCTACCCACAGGGCTTACATCTATGCCCGCCCACTGGGACCACCTCCAAGCCCACCCACAAGGATGCAGTGTGTAGAGTGGACATATTGTGTGTTCGTTCATGAGTGGTAGATGCAGTGCGCATGTGAAGTGGATGCAGGGTGTGTGTGTCTGTAGGGAATGCAGTGTATGTGTACATATATATATATATATAACATAGAATGTGACGGCAGATAAGAACCATTCGGCCCATCTAGTCTGCCCAATTTTCTAAATACTTTGATTAGTCCCTAGCCTTACCTTATAGTTAGGATAGCCTTATGCCTATCCCACGCATGCTTAAACTCCTTTACTGTGTTAACCTCTACCACTTCAGCTGGAAGGCTATTCCATGCATCCACTACCCTCTCAGTAAAGTAATACTTCCTGATATTATTTTTAAACCTTTGTCCCTCTAATTTAAGACTATGTCCTCTTGTTGTGGTAGTTTTTCTTCTTTTAAATATAGTCTCCTCCTTTACTGTGTTAATTCCCTTTATATATTTAAATGTTTCTATCATATCCCCCCTGTCTCGTCTTTCCTCCAAGCTATACATGTTAAGATCCTTTAACCTTTCCTGGTAAGTTTTATCCCGCAATCCATGAACCAGTTTAGTAGCCCTTCTCTGAACCCTTTCTAAAGTATCAATATCCTTCTGAAGATACGGTCTCCAGTACTGTGTACAATACTCCAAGTGAGGTCTCAACAGTGTTCTGTACAATGGCATGAGCACTTCCCTCTTTCTACTGCTAATACCTCTCCCTATACAACCAAGCATTCTGCTAGCATTTCCTGCAGCTCTATTACATTGTCTGCCTACCTTTAAGTCATCAGAAATAATCACCCCTAAATCCCTTTCCTCAGATGTTGAGGTTAGGACTCTAGCAAATATTCTGTACTCTGCCCTTGGGTTTTTACGTCCAAGATGCATTATCTTGCACTTATCCACATTGCCACAACTCTGACATTTTTCTAGTTTACCTAAAACATTTGCCATTTGGCTTATCCCTCCTGGAACATCAACCCTGTTACATATCTTAGTATCATCAGCAAAAAGACATACCTAACCATCAAGACCTTCTGCAATATCACTACCCCACTGGTGACAAGCCCAAGCTTCGAATATACTCCATTGACTACAACCCTCTGTTGCCAGTCACTCAGCCACTGCCTTACCCATTCAACAATATTGGAATCCAAACTTAAAGATTGCAATTTATTGATAAGCCTTCTATGTGCAACAGTGTCAAAAGACTTACTGAAATCTAGGTAATCAATGTCTACTGCACCACCCTGATCTATTATTTTAGTTACCCAATCAAAACAATCAGTAAGATTAGTTTGGCATGATTTCCCTGAAGTAAACCCATGTTGTCTCTGATCTTGAAATCCATGTATTTTTAGATGTTCAACTATCCTATCCTTTAATATGGTTTCTATTACTTTCCCTACTACTGAAGTAAGGCTTACTGGCCTATAGTTGCCCCACTCCTCCCTACTACCTTTCTTGTGTATGGGCACAACATTCGCTAACTTCCAATCTTCTGGGACTACTCCTGTTAGCAATGATTGGTTAAATAAATCTGTTAATGGTTTTGCTAGTACCCCACTAAGCTCTTTTAATAACTTTGGGTGTATTCCATCAGGTCCCATTGACTTATTTGTCTTTACTTTTGATAGTTGAAATAGAACCTCTTCCTCTGTTAACTTACATGTAATAAATGACTTGTTTGTCCTTTTTCCTAACTCAGGTCCCTTTCCTTCATTTTCATCTGTTTTTTTGTTTTTAATCTAACTAACCCTTGTTTTACTTTTCTTTTCTCATTTATGGATCTAAAAAAAATTTTTTTTTTTTTTTACTGACTGTGCTATTTTCTCTTCTGTGTGTGATTTGGAAGCTCTTATAACTTGCTGAGGCCTCTTTCTGCCTAGTCTTATAGATCATTCTGTCTTCCTCACTCTGTTTTTTTTTTTTTATAATTACTAAATGCTAACTTTTTGTTTTTTAAACATATATATATTTATATGCACACACAATGTGCGTTTGAATGTAAGCATGTTTTTGTATGGAGTATGTGTGTGTGAATGTTGGTGTTTGAGCGCAGGTATGTATTTGTGTGTAGTGTATACAGTTCCGCACAAACTGATACACAGACACACACACTCCTCATCCTCAATTCAGTTAGAATATGGGACCTGATAGCAACCAAACATGCTTAAAAAAACACTCCATCACCAATGACCCCATACCTACGAAACAAAGCATTTGAGCCCGGGCTGAGCGCGCGTGACTTCAAAGGCAAAATACACAGAAACACACACTGACACACAGACACATATACAGTTACAGACACTGACACACCAATACGCATGCGGAAACACAGAGACACACACAGACACATACACACAGAATGATACAGTTACATACACATACCCACACTGACACAGATACAAATACATAGACAATCAGAGACACATTGACACAGAATACTGAAACAAATGCAGATACACATACTGACACAAATACATACACAGACACACACTGACACAAAAGGATACACAGACACTTTCACGGCAGAGCCGGTCACTCACCTACTCCCATAGGCGTGCGCAGCCTATTGCATTAGGGTGTGCACCCTAAAGCACAAACACACGCCGCGTGTGTGTGTGTGTGTGTATATATCTATATATAGATATATACACACACACACACTGCTGTGTGTGCTGTTAGTGTGCTGTGTGCTGTTAGTGTGATGTGTGTGTGAGGGTGCTGTTAGTGTGATGTGAGGGTGCTGTTAGTGTGATGTGAGGGTGTGTGTGTGTGTGTTTGTGACTGCGCTGTTTGTGTGTGTATGTTTGTCCTGTGAGGGTGCTGTTTGAGTGTCGTGTATTTGTGAGGATGCTGTTTGTGTGTGTGTGTTTGTGGGGGTGCTGTTAGTGTGCTGTGTGTGAGGGTGTTGCATTTTTTTTTAAAGGTGCTGTGTGTGTTTGTGAGGGTGCGGTTAGTGTACTGTGTGTGTGTGAGCTGTATGTGTGTAGGTGCTGTATGTGTGTGTGCTGTATGTTTGGAGGGATTTGGCAGATTAGTAAATCCTTGCTGCCATGTGCCATCCCTGGTGGTCCAGTGGAGATTGAACTCTAGCCTGCAGGGCTAGAGTTAACTCTTGCGAGATCTGAGTGTTGCCGCAGCAACACTCAGATCTCGCGAGAGGAACCTGGCGGAGCTTCTGTCTAGAGCTCCCTGGGTCCTCTCCTGCCTCCCTCCATGCTGCTGTGGGCCGGTGAGGTAGATCTTTGGTCTCCCCGCCGGCCCATGGAGGCTTAGAGCAGAGCCGGCACTCAGATAGCACCGGCTCTGCGTGCGCGTGTGTGTGTGTGTGTATATATATATATATACGTACACACACACACTCACAGACACACACACACATACACTCACACACACACACACATTCACAGACACACACTCACACATTCACAGACACACACTCACACATTCACAGACACACACACTCACACACAGACATACACTCACTGACACACACAGACACACACTCACACAGACACACACACATACACTCACAGACACACACACTCACTGACACACATACATTCACAGACACACACTCACTGACACACACACAGACACTCACTGACACACTCACACACACTGACACTCACACACACACACAGACACACTCACTGACACACACAGACACTCACACACACTCACACAGACACACACACACACACTCACACAGACACTCACACACAGACACACACACACAAGAACAAATTATATTTGAATTTTAAAAAAAATGTCCACCCAGCCTCCTACCTGGAGTGCTGGTGGACTTGTCCCTGGGGTCCAGTGGGGCGGGCGCCTTTCTGCAGCTCAGCCGCGGCGAGGGAGCTATCTGCTGTCTGCGCTCTGCTCCCTCTCGCCGCGCGGGCTGTCTGCTGTAGCCGGGAGCCGGAATATGACGTCATATTCCGGCTCCCGGCATCAGCGCGCGGCGAGAGGAAGCAGAGCGCAGACAGCAGAGAGCTCCCTCGCCGCGGCTGAGATGGAGAGAGGGACGGGAGGGGATCCATCACATCTTGCTCCCCCCATGACAGGGGCAAGAGGTGAGTGGGGCGCTGAGTGCCTGCAGGAACAGCGTTCCTGCTCAAAAAAAGTGCAGGAACGCTGTTCTTGCAGGACTCAAACCATAGGCGTGCCACGGGGATTAGGGTGTGCCCAGGCACACCCGGCACACCCCGTGCGCACGCCTATGCCTACTCCTGGGCGCCCGCGCCCATCTCACGGTGGAATGTGTGCAATTGCCGCTCTCCAAGTCTCTTCTCCGGGGGCTAAGGCATCTCCCTCTCTCACTGACGAGGTCCGCGGTGAGCATGTCATCGCTGCAAGATGGCGGCCACCATGCGGACCCGGCATTTCTGATGAGAAGGAGGGGAGAAGTTGTGGTTCTGATGATGGTGGGCAGGTCAGAGATTGTGAGGAAAGCCAAAATGGCGCTGAGTCCCTGACCTCCTTTTATAGATCCTGTGTTCTCTGCCTACTGAGGGGATTTGGCTGGTCATGTGATCCTGGCTCCCTATTTTAACCAAGCATGCCTTTCAGTCAGTGCTTGGTTATTTTTCTTGCTCCTGTATCCTAGCTTTGTGAACTGATTCCCTGTTTGCCTTCCTGGTTCCTGATCCTTGGACTCCTGATCGACTACTCTTCCCTGATTGCCTTCATGGTTCCTGATCCTTGGACTCCTGATTGACTACACTTGCCTGCTGCCTGACCTGACTCCGGATTGTCTGACTACGCCTTCTGATACCTCGCTTGGCTTCTTTCCAATAAAGGCCTCCGTGCCACCACAAACCTTTCAGGACCCTGTACCCATTCCCAAGTGCTCCTGAGGGTCATGATTGCAAGGGAGTGCTGTTCCGCTGCAATTGGGTTCCGTCACCACTACAAAACCCCAGGTGGGTGTGACAGACACACACACACAGACACACATATACACACAGACATACACTGAAACACAGATACACACACTGACACACAGACATACAAACAGATTTACATACTGATAAAATCATAGGAGAGGAATAAAATTGGAAAAGAAACAGTAATACATGAATGTGACTGGTTTTCTATTTAAAATACCCCATAAATAACTGACAGTCTTTCTACAGAAGCAGGTATAACAATTAAACCTATTCACCAGATAAATAGTTACGTAGTTACATTGGCTGAAAAGAGACATGTGTCTATGATGTTCAGCATTCCTCCCCTTAGTTTTTTGCTGTTGATCCAAAAGAAGGCAAAAAACCTAGTTTGAAGCACTTCCAATTTTGCAGCAAACTAGTAAAAAAATCCCTCTTAACCCCAAAATGGCAGTCAGATTTATCATTGGATCAAGAAGCTATTACCCTACAGTTGAAAAATTATATAATTGAATATTCTGTTTTTGCAAGTTGGCATTTAGTTGCTGTTTAAATATCTGTATGGACTCTGATAAAACCACTTCTTCAGGTAGAAAATTACACATCCTTATTGTTCTTATGGTAAAAAAAACCTTTCCTTTGCCTTAGACAGATATATTATTCACTGCTTTCAGTCTTAAAGATATAGTGTTCAATGCTTTCAGTCTTAAAGCCCAGTCAAAAGAAGGTTCCCTAACCAGAATTAAAGGTTTCTTGGGGCAGAATGCAGGATGCGCTAGCTAACGACTAGAACCAGGACAAGACACACATGCCCCTTATATGGCATTACAAACTGAGGATACAGAGAACAAGTGAAGCAGTGCAGCATTATCATTCATTGAGATGCAATATTTCATTATCAATATGAAGGAGAAAGGAACTGTTTAGTAACTCATTCAATACCAAAGTCTGTTCGCATGCCAAAAAATAATTAATTTATTTGACACATAGAATAACAATAATTCTGCAAATAAACTGCTTTCATAGATAATTTATATTTGAAAAAAATAGTATAAACGGTGAGAGCACACACAAACAGTAAATTTCTTTACCCTTGTATTCAATTAAAATCCTGTAAACATAAAATCAGGAAAAAAAACATAGGGTAATAACATCCAGATAAATTTTAAATTGTGAATAATTAAAATTAAAAGCTGACTCAGACTAAGAACGTTGAATGGATAAGAAGTAGTGATCGCTGAAATCAAAAGCCAACTGTTTGCTTGTTCCTTCTTTAAAATGCCCAGGATGCAGGTTCTTTTTAAAAAGGTTTTATTGCAAGGTAAAAAACAGCAGCAAGAATAGAAAACAGCAATCTTACTCTCCACACACTGACGCGTTTCAGCCGAAGCTTTTTTCAAAGTATAAATCCATTCAGTTCGATCTTGTTTTAAATATGAATCCTTTTGCGCCCTTTCCTGTTCAAGTTTTCTGCACCTCCCCTTTTCTCTCGACGTAACCGGCAACCGGGCATCCTAGCGTCTGCAGTTACCCCCTTCACTTCCGCATTCGTAAGAGTGACGTAGGGGTATGGGAGGGGATTCTCTTGTACCAAAAACTCTTTAGCGTTCGCAAAAGTCCTTCAATATAATATGCAGTAGACTTGGGCATTTCAGAAATTTTCGTTTCGTACGAATGTATTCGTACGAAAAAGAAAATACTTTAGTCAGAACCGAAATTCGTCAATTCTTTCATTCGTTTTCGTACGATATTCGGTAGTATTTTCATTTCGGCTAAACTTGTTCGTTCATTCGGCGCGATTTAATTGAGCCAAATGAATTGAATACATAAAACTATGTTCCCTAATCCCTAAATACCGAATAGCTTCAACCGAACTCAGTAAAACTATTCGTTTCAAATGTTGTACATTGCTATTGCTAACAACATGGCATTGATTGAATGCTGTATTACGCCTAAAACTCCCGAACCATCAAATGCACGAACGCTGGCATTCGCATGAAAATGTATTGGCGCTATTAGTAAATTACCGAACACCATTCACTATAGTCATTCGTATGTCGAATGGTATTGCAAATACAATGCAATCATAAAAGTCAGTTCCCTAATCCCTAAATAACGAATAGCCTCAAGTGAACACAGTAAAACCATTCATTCATTTACATTTTCGTACATTGATCTGCCAACACATGGCATTGAACAATGTTCTAATCTATTTACGCCTAAAACTCCCGAACAAATTCCCGAACCGTCAAATGCACGAACACTGCCGTTCGCATGAAAATGTATTGGCACTATTAGTAAACTACCGAACACCACTTACAATAGTCATTCGCATGTCGAATTACATTGCAAATGCAATGCATTGCTTTTGCTTAGTTTCTTGGGCTCATGAATCATCATGCTTCCCTGACAGGTGGTACTGGCAACACAGTATCATTTTATAAGGGAGTGGGAAAGTAGTAGCCAATTAAATATGCTTTTACATACTGCCAGACAAAACTGTAGAAAAAAAAAGTATCAACTCAAGGCAGTCCTTCAATGCAAAATCTATCCAGATTTTCTATAGGCCAGCCATTCAGCCATTTTGGAGCTCAGCCAGCCCACCACCCTGTCAGCCATTTTAGGCACTTGAACACTGAGCCTGCCAGAAGTGGCCATGTCCTCCTCCAGCTCCTCAAGTGAGATAGTAGTCATGGATGTAGTGGAGGGGGGCATTGGCCACTCTGGCCAGGAGATAGGAGAAGCAAGTGGGAGAAGCAAGCAGAAGCAGAGGCAGCCCAGGATCTTAAAAAGAGCAGATCCTGTGAGGAAGAATAAATACGCATATAGCTTTCGTGCAAAGGAGAATACAGTACTGGTAAACAAACTTTGCCAGTACTACCAATGTATATTTGGGGGAGCAGCCAAAAAGAGTTCCAGAGCACAGAAGGAAAATCGGTGGAGGAAGATTGTGGCAGCGGTGAATGCTGTTGGAGGGAACAACCGCACTGAGGACGTGGTGAAGAAACGGTAAGTGCACTTATATTCCTAAAAAATAATTTTCTTTATGCCATGTTTTATTAAAACTTATTTTTTTCCTCCATGTGCTTTTGCTACAC